AATTAGATAGTGATGCTTGCTTGCACAACTCTGTTGATAGACTAAAAACCACTGAACCGTACTTTTTTTTTTTAAGGGTGGATTTTATGGTGAATTATATCACAATAAAGCTGTTATTTTTTAAAAAGCCTGATTCTATCTCTTACTGGCTGGGTTATTTAGTCAGTGGAACCGCACCCAAGGAATCTCAGCTATGAAGCAGGAATAATAATAACATACTTCCCAGGTCATTTTGATAAACAAGATCATGAATTTCAAAATGCTTATAAACTATAAACCTCACATCGTCTTGGGGTGCCAATGCGTTATTAAATTGGATGTTTAGTTTTCCTCCTGTGTTTCCTATAGCACTAGCAAGGTCTGCCTATCTAGTAATTACTCAACTAAAGACTTAGTGATTTTTTTTTTTTTTTTTTTTTTTGTACTGGGGATCAAACTCAGGACCTTGTGCTTGCGAGGCAGGCACTGGAACCACTGAGCTAAATCTGTGGCCACCTAGAGCTTTTTCATATGCATGGGTGAGACTCAACACCCACTGAACAGTGACTCCCCAGTTTGCACCCCCAGCCCCTGATAACCACTTTACTTTCTTTTTCATGAATTTGACTACTTTAGATAGTTCGTGTAAGTGGAATCTTTCTGTGACTGGCTTATTTTGCTTAGCATAAGGTGCTCAAGCTCATCTGTGCTGTAGCATGGGTCAGAATTTCCTTTCCTTTTATGGCTGAAGAATATTCCATTGTATGCATATGCTGCATTTTCTTTATGCTTTCATCTATCAATGGATGTTTCAGTTATTTTCACCTGCTGACTTTTATGGATAATGGTGCAGTGAATGTGAGTATGCAAATAATCTCTTCAAGATCCCTGTTTTCATTTTTTTTTTTTGGTACCAGGGATTGAACTCGGGACCTTGAGCTTGTGAGACAGGTGGCGGAACCACTGAGCTAAATCCCTGACCTTTCATTTTTTTAAAGTTCTTTTTATGGTACTATGGATTGAACTCAGGGCTTTCACACTGAGTTACATCCCCAGCATTTAATTTTGAGACAAGGTCTTACTGAGTTACAAATTTGTCCAGGCTGGGCTTGAACTTTTGATCTTCCTGCCCCAGCCTCCAAGAGTTCTGAGATCACAAGCGTGTACCACCACATCTGGCTCCTGTTTTCAGTTCTTTTGGATAAATACCCATTAGTGAGGTAGTTATTTATTTGTTTGGTTTGTTTTTTTTGGTACCAGGGATCGAACTCGGGTCCTTGCGCTTGCGCAGCTGGTGGCGAAACCACTGAGCTAAATCCCTGGCCCTAATGAGGTTGTTATTTAGATCATATGGTAGCCTTATTTTCATTTTTTCTTTTTTGAGGAACTTCTATACTGTTTTCCACAGTGGCTGTACCATTTTACATTCTCAATATTGCACAAGGTTCCTATTTCTATGCGTCATTGCCAACACTTGTTATTTTCCTTTGCTTACTTAGTTTTTATCATGGCCATTTTAGCAGATGTGAGGTGATGGCTCATGGTTTTGATTTGCATTTCCCCAATGATGAGTGAAGGTGAGCATCATTTCATATACAGATTGGCCCTTGTACGCCTTCTTTGGAGAAATGTCTAAGTCTTTTGCCCATTTCTAAATTGAGTTGTTTGTTTTTTTGCTATTTAATTGAATTCTGTATATATTTTATATTATATCCCTTCAGTGTATAGCTGGCAAATATTTTCTCCCATTCTATTTGTTTCCTTTGCTGTGCACAGCTTTTTGATTTGATGCAGTCTTGTTTGTCTATTTTTGGTTTGGTGCCACATCCAAGCAATCATTTCCAAAACCACTGCTATGAAGATTTTCCCATGTTTTTTTCTTGGAGTTTTTCATTTTTAGGTATTATAATTAGGTCTTGTATCCATTTTGACTTGATTTTTGAGTATGATTTAAGGGTCCAGTTTCACTCTTGTGTGTGCATTTCCAGTTTTCTGAATATCATCTGTTGAAAGAGACTATCCTTCCCCTATTGTGTAATCTTGGCACCCTTGTCAGAGAAAATTTGACCATGTATTTGACCACAGATTTATTTTTGGACTGTATAATCTGTTACTTTGGTCTCTACAACAGCCTTTGTGCAAGCATACCATTTTGATTATCTGAGCTTTGTAATATGTTTTGAAATAAGTTGCTTGAGTCCTTTAGCAGCTTTTTTTCCTCTAGAAAAAAGACTATTTAGGAATTCTTTCTGGTTCCATATGAATTTTAGGATTTTCTTCTACTTCTGAAAAAATGCCATTGATAATTTGGGTAGTATGGATGTTTTTTAACAATTTGAAGTTTTCCAATCCATGAACAAGGGATGTCTTTTTATTTGTGCCTTGTTTAATTTTTTAAAAGGACATTTTATAGTTTTCAATATGTATTACTTTCATCTCCTTGGTTATGTTTATTCCTAAGTAGTTTTTTGATATTGTTGTGCATGAGATTATTTTAATTTCCTTTTTGGGATAGTTTGTTGTTGGTGTATGGAAATATAACTGGATTTTATATGTTTATTATGTGTCATGCAGCTTTGCCTAACTTGCTTTTTAGTTCCAACAGGTGTTTTCGTTGGTGTTTATGTGTGTGTGTGTGTGTGTGTGTGTGTGTAAAATTTTGAGGGTTTTCTACATATAAGATCATGTCATCTGTAAACAAATAATTTTCATTCTTCCTTTTGTTAGCATGCCTTTTATTTCTTTCTCTTTTTTTTGCCTAATTTCTCTAGCTATGAATTCTAATGGTGTTCCTGATCTTAGAGTAAGTCTTTCAGGCTTTTGCTGTTGAGGATGATGTTAACTGAGGTAATTATTTTCTATTCCTAGTTTGTTGAATCTTTTTTGTAATGAAAGGATGTTAACTTTTGTCATATGCTTTTTTTTCTATATCTTGAGATGATCATGTTAATTTTGTCCTTTGTTCTGTTAATGTGATGTATTGTACTGATTGATTTTTGTATATTGAACCATCCTTGCATCTCAAGGATAAATCCCTCTTGGTTATGGTTTAGGATCATTTAAATTTGCTGTTGAATTTGGTTTTCAAATACTGTACTTTATTGAGGATTTTTGCATTTGTGCTATCATTAGGGATGTTGACTGGAGTTTTCCTTTCTTGGCTTGGGTATCAGAGTGGTGATGGCCTTGTAAAATGAATTTGCAAGTATTCTCCCCTTTTCAGTTTTTTTTGAAGAGTTTGAAAAGGATTGGCATTAATTCTTCTTTGAGTGTGTAGTAGAATTCAGCTGTGCAGCCATCTGGTCCTCAGCTTTTGTTGTTTTCAGTACTAATTGAATCTTCCTACTAGTTATTGGTCTGTTCAGATTTTCTTTCTTTGTGATTCAGTATTGGTATACGTGCTGCCTAACCAAGGACTGTGATTCAGGATTGGTTGGTTGTATGTTTCTAGGCATGTATCCATTTCTTCTAAGTTATCCCATCAACAGATGTGTAGTTGTTCATACTATGGAGGCATTTATGGCTATAAACTTCCCTTTTAGTATTGCTTTCACTAAAAGTTTTGTTATATTGTGTTTCTCATCATCACTTGTCTCAAGATAGTCTCTAATTCCCCTTTTTGTAATTGTATGAAGATACAATTTATCCATTATTTGGATTATATGTTACTTCATTTCTACACATTTGTGAATTTTCCAGATTTTCTTCTGATTTCTAGAGTTTAATTCCATTGTGGCTGGCAAAGATACTTGTCTGATTTCAGTCCTCTTAAATTTAAGACTTGTTTTGTGATCTAGTATGATCTGTTCTGGCAAATATTCTGTGTGTGCCTGAGAAGAATGTGTATTCATTCTGTGACAGATGAGTAAAATGTTCTGTGTCTGAATAGGTCCATTTGGTCTATAGTGTTGTTACAGTACTTTGTTTTCTTATTGATCTTCCAACTGGATGTCATATTTGGAATATTGAACTCTCTGAATGATTGGCTATTTCATCCTTCATTTCTATCAAGGTTTGCTTCATATATTTTGGTGCTCTGATGTTGTATGCATATGTATTTATAACTGTTACGTATCTTCCTTGTGAATTGGACCTTTCATCATTATAAAATGCCCTTTTCAGCGTCTTGTAACAGTTTTTGACTTAATGTTTATTTTTTTGGATATAAGAATGCCCGCTGTGGTAGCTTTCTGTTACTATAAGAAAATATCTGAGGTAATCAACTTAAAAAGAAGAAAGGCTTCTTCTGGCTCACAGCTGTAGAGGTTTCAGTCCATGTCCATTGATCTGTTGCTTTGGACCTGTGGCAGGCAGCACCGTCATGTGGGGCACATGGAACAAGAAGCCCATTTACCTCAGAGGTTGTGTGAAAGAGAGGGAAGGGTGGGACTCCAGAGCTCCTTCAAGGGCACACCCCATGGATCTGACCTCCCCTCTCTGGGCCCCACCTGAAGGCTCCACATTTTCTCAATGGCACCAGGAGCTGAGGGCCATGCCTCAACACAAGTGCCTTTGGGCATATTCCAGATCCAAACTACATTCCCTCTCTTCTCTATTTTGGTTTCTCTTTGTGTGGAGTATCTTTTTCTGGTCTTCACTTTCAGTCTGTGTGTTCTTAAGCCTACAGTGAGTCTCTGGTAAATAGCACCTAGTTAGATTGTTGTTTAAAAAATTTATTCAGCCATCAAAATAGTTATTTTTTAAGCATTTTTTCACATTCAGGATATATGTGTGCTTTTACATCTAAGTATTTCTCAGAACTAAGGACTATAGTTTTTTTTGTTTTTTTTTTTTGGGCAGTACTAGAGATTGAACCCAGGGCCTTCACACTCAACTACATCCTCAGCCCTTTGTATTTTTATTTTGAGACAGACAGGATCTTACTAAATTGCCCAGTCTGGTCTTGAATTTGTGATCCTCTGACTTTAGGCTCTCAAGTACCTGGGATTACAGACATGTGCTACTCTTCCAGGCAATAACTTTTTACTTTGTGTTCTTGTATTCTCTTTCTCTTTTAACAGAGACAACGTATCTGATTCCTTGGTAAAACCGCCACCTAATCCTGAAGATGTGTTCCACGAACCCAAGCAATTGGGTCACTTTTGATGATGACTCTGCTTTTCAGTCTCAAAAGTCAAGGCATTTCCCTCTGGAGAATCAAGGTGTCTGCAGACCAAATGGACTGAAGCTGAACCTTCCTGGCCTCAAAGAATTCCCCAGTGGATCATCCTCGACCAGCAGCACCCCTCTTTCCTCTCCTATTGTCGATTTTTACTTCAGCCCAGGACCGCCAAGTAATTCTCCTCTCTCTACACCTACCAAAGATTTCCCAGGTTTTCCTGGCATACCTAAAGTAGGGACTCATGTGCTTTATCCTATTCCAGAATCTTCTGCAAATACACTAGTAGGAGCAGGTTTTTCCTTATTGCCTGCTAAGCCAACCTGTTTATCCCAGGCTTTCTTACCCAGTGACCTCTCTTGTACAGTTCCAGCTCCCAAAGTAGGTCTTCCAGGTGAACTTTGCCCTCAGCAGGCTGAAAACACAGGAGTTCAAAGTGATGCTTCCCAGTTTCAATATTTTCAGGAGGACTGTGCATTTTCAAGTCCATTTTGGAAAGAAGAAGGCAGTGGTTCTCAGTTCACCTTTGACCCCTCAGGAAGCAGAAAGATGTTTTCACCAAGAGACAAGGGGATTCCAGTTGATCAAAAAAGCCTAAATAAATGTTCACTCAACTACATCTGTGAGAAGCTTGAACACCTCCAGTCAGCTGAGAACCAAGACCTTCTTGGCAGTGTGTCTATGCAGTGTCCCTACGCTGAAGACTCTGCCTCTTCCTTTGTCCCCCACACGCTCTTCAGGAGTCAGCCCAAAGCTGGATGGTCTTTCATGCTGAGAATTCCTGAGAAGAAAAACATGATGTCTTCCCGTCAGTGGGGACCAATTTTTCTGAAAGTTTTACCTGGAGGAATCTTGCAAATGTATTATGAGAAGGGGTTAGAGAAACCATTCAAAGAGTTACAGCTCAATCCACATTGCAGGCTTTCTGAACCCAAAGTTGAGAACTTTAGTGTGGCAGGAAAAATCCATACTGTGAAGATTGAACATGTGTCTTACACAGAAAAAAGGAAATACCATTCTAAGACGGAAGTAGTTCATGAGCCAGATACAGAACAGATGCTGAAGTTGGGGTCCCTGGAGTACCGTGACTTCCTCGACTTTCTGATTACTGTGGAGGAGGAGCTGATGAAGCTACCAGCCTTTTCAAAACCAAAGAAGAACTATGAGGAGCAAGAAATTTCTCTGGAAATTGTGGACAACTTTTGGGGTAAAGTCACAAAAGAAGATGGGAAATTGGTTGAAAGTGCTGTGATAACTCAAATCTGTTGCCTCTGCTTTGTGAATGGGAACACGGAATGCTTTTTAACCTTGAACGACCTTGAGCTACAAAAGAGAGATGAATGCTGTTTTGAAAAAGATACAGAAAAAAAGTGGATTGATATTCTTGACTGTCATTTTCATAAGTGTGTGAAAGAACAAGAATTTGAGCAAACAAGAATCATTAAGTTTGTGCCTCTGGATGCCTGCCGGTTTGAGCTGATGCGGTTCAAGACTTTATATCATGGGGATGATCTTCCATTTTCTGTGAAGTCTGTGGTAGTAGTCCAGGGGGCATATGTGGAGCTTCAGGCCTTTGTCAACATGGCCCCGTTGGTTCAGAGGCCATCCCACGCCGGGTCCTTGAGGAGCTGCGACAATGTAATGATACACTTTCCTGTCCCGTCTCAGTGGATCAAGGCCCTTTGGACCATGAATCTCCAGAGGCAGAAGTCCCTAAAGGCCAAAATGAACCGCCCAATGTGCCTAGGGAATTTACACGAACCCGAATCTGAACCTGTCATTCAGGTCACTGTAGGGTCAGCCAAATATGAGAGTGCCTACCAGGCTGTGGTGTGGAAGATAGAGCGGCTTCCTGATAAAAATTCAAGTAAATATGCAGCACCTATGTTGATTTTCATGGGAAGTAGATTAAATATTCCCCCCCCCCGGGGTTTAAACTAGGCAGAGACAGATGGTCACTTGTCAGCTGAGGTCATGCTTATGTAGACAGGTAGGAGAGGGACATTTAGTCAAACAGCTGGTTTGTTTCCTTTTGTGCCAATTTCTACCAGCTATGTTTAACATTTTACATCTTTTTAATATCATCAAAATTACCATCCTAGGTTAGGAATTTGTTGTGAATGATGGCACTAAGGGAGAATTCGTGGATGTCCGTGGTTGGCCTTCTTGATAGCAAGCTCAAATATTAAAAATGTATCTAATAAATCTTAGATTCCTTAATTCAGCTGTAAACATCTGCCATCCATGAATATACTTAAACATTTTCTTTGTATTCTCAGCCAATATAATTTGTTCTTTAGGTTTTGCTTCTTGATTTTTGAAATAAGACTGCCTTTCATTTTTACTCATATTGATTTTTGGCTCAATTTACCCATTTGATCACCTCAACTTGTTTTAGAATTAGGTAGATACAATCTGAGCATTAAAAATGCAGTTAATTTTTAAATTTTGCAAAGGAAATAATCTAGAAGTTCAGAACTTTGAAAACAGTCTTAACATCATGTTAATTTTAGAATAAGTTAGTAGATATAATAAAACAAAAATGCAAATTTTGAAATTAGAGCTATTCCTCTTTATGTTGAGGTTTATTTCTAGTGAAAGCCTGGACTATAGGGGTAAATTTGGAGCACGTTTGGGGAATCTAAGTTGATTGATTAACTGATTGATTGATTCATTCATTTATTCATGTCTTCACGGAGCACTTACTGTGTACCAAGTGCCGCATCAACTGCTGGGGATAAAGATGGATAGAAACTGATCGCTGGCCCCTAGTAGGTCATAGTTCCTCTAGTCCTGCAGAGGAATTTAAGCTCATCTTAGGCCTCTCTTGGCCATGGACTTCAGATGAAGTATTTTTATTGTGGGTGATGGCAGTGAATAGCAGTATTTCTCAAACCTGGCCATACTTTAGAATATCCTGAGGGCTTTTAAATAATCTCCATGTTCAGGCTCACTCTGTGCCAGTTAAATTGGAGCCCTTGGGGCAGGGCTCAGGGTACCAGGAGGTCTGAAGAGTTCCCAGGAGGACCTCCCATGCAGCCAGGGTGGGAACTCTGCCCCCATGAGAGGGGTGGTGGGGGAAGGTTGAGGGACTTCAGAGGAGGTGGCCTCAGGACAATGAAGAGACTATGTGTGGACATGAGGACATGAAGGAGCTGGGACAGGTCAGGGTGTCTGTCTGGCTTGAGTGAACAGGAGAGCAATGGTGCTGTTAGCCAAGATAGCTTGAAATTCCCTTGTCTCTCATCCCTAGAATTAAGTATGTTTTCCAGCCTGGTTGCATGTTGCAATCATCAGAGCTTGAAAAAACATACAGGTTGAGTATCCCTAGTCCAAAAATATGAAATCTGAAGTGCTCTAAAATCCAAAAATTTTTGAGCATTGACCTGATGCGATAAGCAGACAATTTCACACTATGAACCCTGTTTTATGTACACAATTATTAGAATATTTTATAAAACTGCCTTCAGTCTGTGGGTATAAGGTGTAGATGAAACAGACATGAATTTGCCGTTGAGGGTGGGTCCCATGACCAAGATATCTCATTATATATATGTAAATATCACAAAATCCAAAAACAATCCTGAAACCTTGTCCCAAGCATCCCCAGTAAGGGCTACTCAAGCTGTATCCATGCTCGGGTCCCTTCCGCTACCGGTCAGACTCTGGGGTGAGGTCCAGTGGTTGGTGCTTGTGAAAGACACTCCTACAGCAGCCCGGGCAAGAGCTGCTAACTTGGTCACTGTCTTGTGACATTGTTCTGGCCCCAGGCAGGTGCCACCTTCCTACCCCATGTGTCCTTGTCTTCTAGAGCTCTGTTATTCTCCTCCCCTGCTCTTTTCCAGCAGTTGAGCTCACTGAGAATAATGGTAAGAATAGACATTCCCAGAGAGATTGGCTGGACCCTATCTTGCCTGCTGGGGCTCTTCTTGCTTACTGTCATGGTTCCAGACACACGTGGAACCATGGTGTACAAGGTTCTGGTCAGCTGTACAGTGATGATGCACCGAGTAAATCCTTTAGGGTCAAAGGTGCTTTGTTCAGATTGGGTTTTAACCCCCCGGGGGCAAGGCATGAAGGGGAGTTCTTCTGGGTTTCCTCAGCACTCTCCCTAGACATCTACATGAGGGGGTGGGCGGGTAATGCGGAGAGCGAGAGGTCTGGGCTCACCACAGTCTAATTTTCCTCTTGGGATGAGGCATGGAAAGGAGAAGGAAGGTTGGGACCAAAGGGAAATCTTTGTCACAGGGTGGTGCTTCTTAAACTGTGCAGGACTGCCTTGGTGATAGGTAGACTCTATCAGCCCGTGTTTCCAACTCACTGCTGTGGTCCTGGGGCCACATGTACTGCAGTTGAGCCTGGATGCAGCGCGTTTCTCTAGATGACTTTCAGATCAGTTGTGTGTTTAGTGAACAGGATTTTCTTTAAAAATCTTTAAAATATTACCTCTTATGTCAGTTTCTGAAAAACTTGTACTATTGCAGAAATACTTTGAACATGGAAACTGAAAGAAAAATATGAACTAGTGTACTATGCCTTAATTAAATTTTTGCTTTGCCTTTCTTCCTGGGAATTTGTGAGCTCAAGCTTTACCTGCGATGTCAGGAGAGGTTGGAATTACTGCTGGTCCCTAAAATGGCTCTCTAGCACCTCATCAGTGCTGAATATTGCTTTTTTTGGGGGGGGGTACTGGGATCGAACTTAGGACCTTGCACTTGCAAGGCGGGTGCAGTGCCACTGAGATAAATCCCTAGCCCAGAATGTTCCTGTAACAGCTATGTGGGCATATCTTTCTTTCTTTCTTTCTTCTTTTTTGGTACTGGGGATCGAACTCAGGTCCTTGTGCTTTCAAGACAGGCGGCATAACCACTGAGCTAAATCCCCGTCCCAGGGCACATCTTTCATGGTGCATCAGTCTAGCTTGGGCAGTAGCTCATAGACTTCATATTAAGGTGTGCAGGGCAGTAGCTCATCATTCATACTCAAGTGTGAAGGATGACAAAGGAGTTTCCACCAAAACAAAAAGAGAGAGAAAGGGAGGAAGAGAAAGAGAATGAGGACTCAGTTAGCCAAAGGAGGTGAAAGGTGGCCCAGAATTAGAAGGGGGAATGGAGGTGGAGTTGTTCCCCTTTTCTCTTTTTCCTTTGCTCTGTGTCATCAGATTTTGGTTGCTCTCTCCTCCTCCATTTGTGCTGTTCTCTTGCCATTCATTTCCTTTGACCTTCAGTAGTTCAGTTTCAGATGTGAAATACTTCGGTTCATCGGGGATTAGGTATCCAACAGACAGACCTGAGGAGATTTTGGATAAGCATTTCCCATGCTAGTGAAAGATAAGTTACTGAAGCTCAAGGGTGCCCACTTGTGGTTAGCCCTGAGACAACAGGAATTTCCTCTTTCACTTAAGAAAGGGTCATACAAATTAATGTGTTTCATTTTGGGAGATTTATATGTGCAAATTACATACTTTGATCCTTCCCCCACCATTTTGCCTCTCCATCGTCCCTAGTTTCAGATTTTTTGAACATGAATGTGAGTGGGGATGCAATGTGTATATTTTGTTCATATCCATTTATTGATGCATGTGACAAATAAGGGCTAAGCCTCAAACATGCTGGCCTTGTGCTGGGGACACACATGATTCCTATACTCATAGGACTCGAAGCTGAAAGGGGGAGTGGGTTAGTAAACACTGCAGAGTATTTACAGTTTTCAGGAAATGTGAAAGGAAGATGCTGTTTTATCTTCCACCAGCTTTTTAGAAAAGCAGGCAGAAAGGTTTTGTTTCTAGCATTTTTGTAGTATTAGGACCTTCAACTTGGATTTAATTTTTTCCTTCAGTTTTTGTTGCAAATCTTTTCCTATAAAATGTGAATATCAAATTAGATCATCTCCAATGTCATTTTCAACTCTACACGTGTAGAGTTCACAGCTATTTTATTAGCTAAATTACAGTACTTAGATAATAATGAATGGATTTCCAGCCGAGTAGAGCTTGTCAGAGTAATAACACATGAGCAGCAGGTGCCACTACGAGCCATTCCTGCCCTGCTCTGTGGTTAATCCTCACCCCGGCCTTAGAGGGTCAGGTTGTCACCTTTACCCTCCTTGGCAGAGGGAAGCCAGCCGAGGCTGGAAGGTGAGTAGCCTTGCAGCTGCAGCAATAGGGAGTGGCCTCAGGGTGCACTGGGTGTGGAGGTTGTGTCCCCACCCTCCGGGCCTGGGGAGCCCCGGGTTAAGTGTGAATGAACTTGCTGCAGCCAGAAGTTAGGAAAGGATAATGGATGGCGGGATCTCAGTGTATGTGTGGGAGGAAGTCGTGATTTGCCTGCGGTGCTGTGGGTAGCCAGAGCCCCTCTGAGGCCACTGCAGTCCGACCTTACGTGCAAGTGATAGAGATGGCTAATGAGCATCTGCTGGCTAATTGATGGATGACTTTTACAGCTTGGAATTCTATTAGTCTCTACAAGAAACAGGTTGTAAGGAATGAAAGGCAATTTGTCTTTTAGGAATTAAGTGAAATCCTTTAAACTTTTGTTCTTGTGCCTACAGCTATACTCTGATGAAAATGTTCTTTTAAGCAATGTCAGTGGTACAATAATTTAATCTGGCTTTAGAAATTACAGTCATCTCATACATTTATTTAAGAAAAGATAACCACATTGGATATGTAGATGTTATGAACAATGGGATAAGGTCATGGTCATTTGTAAAGTTACTGCAGTGAAAGTATTTTTTGCCTCATTATAACAAACATGCACACATGTACACACACTCAATTTGAGTGACCCACCTGAAATCTTTGATATGAACAATATCCCTTATGTTGTAGTTACTTTTCTCATTGCTGGGACAAAATACCCAACACCCAAAGTGAAAGGAGGAAAGGTTTATTTCACCTCACAGTTGTAGAGGTTTCCGTCCATAGTCGGGTGGCTTCAAGGCAGTGTGACATGGCAGAGGAGAAATAGTTCATGGCAAGCAGGCAGGAGACTGCAAATCAGCAAGCAGCAGCAGCAGAAACTGTGCCTCTCCTTTTTTTTTTTTTGGTAGCGGGGATCGAACTCAGGTCCTTGCGCTTGTGAGGCAGGCAGGCGACAGAACCACTGAGCTAAATCCCCAGCCCCGTCCCTTTTTATTCTTTCCAGGCTACTTGCTTTTTGGGTGGTGCCATCTGCACATTACTCCCATTATCCACACCCAGAACTATGATAAACAAATCAGTGGGCTAATTTTGTAATCACACACCCCTTATCTCCCCCAGCACTACACCCTTAATCCCAGCACCACACACTCTAGATGGAGCCACCTCTGAAAAGTTCGATCTATGTCCACATGAGGCTTTGGGGGACATCTAGACACAAACCATAACATTTGAGCTTGGCACAGGGCCTGACCTGGCCCAGTATAGATGCTCAACTTAGAACAGATATTAGATTGAAACATTGAAGGCAAATACATCCATCTCTACTCTGTACCTCTGTTCTAGTCAAAGCTTTTCAGAAGCATGAGTGAGAATTTCAGTAGTGAAAAACAATCTGTTTTACTGAAAAAATAATTCTTCACTTGGAATATTTTCTGAAATGTAATAATATCTTAAGTTTCACTTTTAAAATCAGGCTTCTCAAAATAATATGACCTAATTGGAGCAGATCTACTCCTAATTGGAGTAGATTGTGCTTTGCATGATCTACAAGCACAGGGGTAAGAAAATGAATGAATGAAGAATTATTGTAAGAACTTCTTCTGTCTACTTAAGAGAAGTTTTCACACCTCAAACATTGTGGCCAAATAATTATGTTTCATATAAATATTTCTCTTTTAATTAGAGCAAACAGTAATACTTGTAATTGAAAACATTTTTAAGAGTTAATGTGCGCAGGTGTATTGTAATAAAGTTGCACTTCTTTTAGAGCTGGTACTTGCATAGAGATGGAACTCTCCTACTTTGTGCATAATTGTGGGTTTGGATGGACTGTTTTTAATATGGAATTTGTACAGCTACAGCACTCGTGGAATTGCAGGTGCCTTTTATGTTCAACAGAAATGTTCAGTGACCACTGAAATAGTTTGATTTTGTTTCCTCAAGGTCCTGATCATCCCCACTGTTTGTCGTACAAACTAGAACTCGGATCTGACCAAGAGATTCCCTTGGACTGGTATCCATTCGCTACTGTTCAGTTCTCCATGGCAGACACCTGTGCCTCCTGGGCGGCGGTCAGGTCTCTGGGGGTGGAGAGCGATGTGCAGCCACAGAAACACATCCAGCAGCGAGCTTGCTACAGCCTCCAGGTACATCCCCAAGCCCTCCATTCATGCTGGAATGTCCAGAGCTGGGTCCTGATTTGGCTTTAAATATTTGCTTTGCCTTCTTGACTGACTGTATGAAATGATATTCAATCTAGAGAAGTGCTCAGCCATGTAAACTAGGTGATCCATATTGAAGAGTACTTGTAAGTCAGCTTTCAATGGAAAACAAAAAATATATTTGTATCTTAGAAGCATATTGATAATGAAAAGTATGCTAGAATAGAATTTCCCTTGCCAGGCATGGTGGCACATGCCTGTAATCACAGCACGTGGGAGGCTGAGGCAGATCGATCGAAGTGAGTTTGAGGCCAGTTTGGGCTACATAGTGAGACCCTGTCTACACACACACACACACACACACACACACACACACACACACAAAATAGAATTTCCCAAAATATATTATGTTTTATATAATTTTTTTCCAAGGAAAAAGTAAGTTGGGAAATACCACACACTAATTTTTTTTTTAATTTTTAATTTTTCCATTAAGTTTATTGGTACATTTTAGGTATAAAATACAGTTACATTCATCATTGGGATCTTGTACCTTTACATGAGTCTCTT